GAACCCTGTGACGCTTGTACTGCTTTTTTGGTCACATGGGCCCACGCTAAATATGAAAGATTTTCATTGTCCATAACCCTTTGTTGGTGCTGATAAACCCCGCGCTACTAATTTGCTGTCAGCAGTAGCTGCGGACGGCGTGCTGCGTCTGAGTGGTTTCCACCCCCAAAATGCTGCTTGCATGACACTGCTTTACTCGAAATCTTCCTGAAAAAACCCTCCCCCCATTGCCCCGCTATGGGGCAAAATCCAGTCGGTGTTGGCCCCACTGAAAAAAATTTCCCTGGTTTTTTTCCACTTTTCCGGAGTCCCCTTGTTTTTTAAGAGTTGACCCTAGCCCCGTTCCCCCCAGGGAAAAACTGTGTTCCCTTGCTCCCCCGGGGGGGCCCCTCTTCCCTTGGTCTTTTAAAAACCCCTTCCCCTTCTAACATATATTTTCCCCATTTTAAAAAACCCCTTTTAAAAAATAAACTTGAAAAATTGCATTTGTGCCAATCCTGGGTAACTTTATTGAAAAAAACTTTTTGGGAAACAGGGGCTCTTTATTTAAAACAAGGGGGGGAATCTTGAGGGAACCCGGGGGGGGTAGGTTAAACTCATCCCAACTTGTAAAACTGAATCCCCCATAAAGCCTGATACTATTTCCTCGGGGTTTCACTTTTTAGGGCCCTGGTGGCCACTGGTGCGAAAGGTTTTTCTCATAAAGGGTTTTAAAGGGTTCCCCCCATTTTTGGGGTTAATTTTTCAACTTCTTAATAACCCTTTTCATTCAAACTTCAATACTACTAAAAAATTTTTTTTGGCTAATAACTGCAAATTTACTATTACTATTTTTACTTTTTTGGTGTAGTTTTTCTCTAAATTTCTAAAAACCCTTTTGGTTTTTGGGGAAACCCCCTCCCCCTTAAAACTCCCTCGGGTCATTGTTTCCCTTTTTATTTTCCTCCCCCCCTCCCCCCCCCCTCCCCCCCTTTCCCCCCCTCTCCCCCTTTCCCCTCCCCCCCCCTCCCCCCCCCCCCCTCCCCCCCCCATCTCCCCCCTCCCCCCCTCCCCCTTTTTTTTCCCCCCTTTTTTCCCCCTTTTTTCCCCCCCCCTTTCCAATTTTCAGGTTTTAAGCCTTTTAAAATTTATTACAACTAAACCCAACACAAAACCCGTTAAGAAACAAAAACAAAAGGGGGGGCCCCGGGGCCACTTTCGACAATCACCCACATTATCCCCCAATTTTTCCCAAAACACCGGGATAAAACCAATATACAAAACCCCAAAAACCCCCCCATAAAACCCCCACCCCCCCGGGGGGCCCCAAAAAACAAAAACAAACAAACCACCCAAACCCCCCCCAACCGCTAAACAGCCCCCAAACCACAAAAGGCGCCCCCACCCCAACACCAAAAAAAGGGGGGGGGACAACCAAAAAGGGGGAAACCAAAACCCCCCCAAAATTTTCAAAAAATCTTCCAACAAACCAATCAAGCCCCGCCCAAACCCCCTTTAGGATTTGGGGTCAAATTTCCCCCGGTTTTTTCTTTCCACCAACAACCTCCCATTTTCCTTTCTCCCCCCATTCATTTTTCCCCCCAGCCATCATTTTGGCTCTCAAAATTTTTTGCCTCTTTTTCCCCCCTTAAAACTTTCCCCCGGTTTTTCTTTTTCCTTCACTTTCCAAAAATTCTTCTTTCCCCCTTCTTTCTACCCCCCCCCCCCCCCCCCCCTCCTCCTCCCCTTTTTCCCCTTTTTTCCCCCCCTTTTTTTTTTCTTTTCCCCTCTCTTTCTTCCCCCCTTTTTTTTCCCCTTTCCCCTCCCTCCCTTTTTCCTTCCCCCTCTTTCTCTCCCCCCCCCTCTTTCCCCTCTCCCTCCTCTCTTTTCTCCTCCCCCCTTTCCCTTTTTTTCCTCTCTTTCCTCCCTCCTCCTCTTTTTTTCCCCTTTTTTTTTTTTTTTTTCCCCCTTTTTCCCCCCTTTCCCCCCCCCCCCCTTTTTTCTTCCCCCCCCTTTCCCCTTTTTTTTCCCCCCTTTTTTCCCCCCCCCAAAAATTTTACTTTTCCCCTTTTTTTTTCTTTTTTCTTTTTTTTCCCCTTTTTTTTTTGTCTCCCTTTTTTTTTTTTTTTTTTTTTTTTTTCCCCTTTTTCAATTTTTCCTTTTTCCTTTTTTCCCCCTTTTTTTTTTACCAAAAGGACAAAAACTTTTTTTTTTGTTAAAAAATTTTTTTTTGGGGGGGGGGGAAAAATTTTCTACTTTTGGGGTTTTAAAGAAAAATTTTTTAAAAAAAAAAGAGGGTTAAAAAGGAAAAGGGTTTTAAGTTTTTTTTTTTCCCGGAAAATTTTAAATTTTTTAAAAATTTTTCCCCCCAATTTTAGGGAAACCCTAAAATTTAACCCCAAATTCCTAAAAATTTTTTTTTCCTTTTTGAAAAAAATTTTTTTTTTAAATTTTAATTTTAAAAATTTTTTAAAGGGAATTTGAAATTTTTCAATTTTTTAAAAATTTTGAAAGGAACCCGGATTTCTTTTTTCCCCTTTTTTTTCAAATTTTAAAAATTTTCCCTTTCCTTTCCCTTTTTTGATGTAGCTAGAGCAGCTGGCATTTCTTCTCTTGGATAAGTGAATGTCAGTGTACAGTCGTCTGCATATGCATGGGATTCTGGATTCTCTCCTCTCCTTTCTCTCTCCTCCCTCTCTTTCCTCCTCCTCCTCTCTTTCTCTCCTCCTCTCTTTCTCTCCTCCTTCTTTCTCTCCTCCTCTCTTTCTCTCCCTCTCTCTTTCTCTCCTCCTCTCTTTCTCTCCTCCTCTCTTTCTCTCCTCCTCTCTTTCTCTCCTCCTCTCTTTCTCTCCTCCTCTCTTTCTCTCCTCCTCTCTTTCTCTCCTCCTCTCTTTCTCTCCTCCTCTCTTTCTCTCTCCTCCTCCTCCTTTCTCTCCTCCTCTCTTTCTCTCCTTCCTTTCTCTCCTTCCTTTCTCTCCTTCCTTTCTCTCCTTCCTTTCTCTCAAAACTTGTGTATCTTTTCGCTACGATAATCAGATATGTAGAAAGGATTCGAAACAATTTAACTTTTATTCTGAGTTAAAGTGAGGATAAATACCTTACTCTCACTTATCGTTTGGAAAACGAAATTAAATGTTAAATAATGTGAAGGATAGGAGGGAATAAATAAAGAGAAATAAGGTAAAATAAGGCTAGACTGGAATAAAGCTAAAGTACTGTCAAACAAGAGAGTTAAATTTATCGTTGAATATATCCTCTTGTAGGTGAAAAATTAAGACTATTAACCCGTAAACGGTCCAAACGTATATATACGTTTTTTCAACATTTGAATGTAAAAAAAGTATTTTTTTTTTACATTTGAAATTGTGTAAAAAAAACTTTGATCTACTTTTTTGTTATATTTGAAAATATGTAAAAAAAAAAACGTAGATCTACTTTTGGAGCACTACAGATGTGAATGTAGATCTGCTTGGACCGTTTACGGGTTAAATATCACCACTCTTCCGTGTCAGTGCAAACACTGGGGGAGACAGATGCACTCCATGGAGGGGATGAGTTATCTGACCATTACCTGCAGATCGAGGTAATTCTCTCCCCAATGCAGTGGATAGAAACACTGGTGGTATAAACCTTGGTAATAAATACCGACAAGTTGGTTTAGAAAGACACGTAAGCAAACACTATAACATATTTATTAGAAAACGTTTCGGTCCTGGGACCTTGATCACTTCTAACATACAGAGGTAGAAAGACATTATATATATAGGCTATATATATAATGTCTTTCTACCTCTGTATGTTAGAAGTGATCAAGGTCCCAGGACCGAAACGTTTTCTAATAAATATGTTATAGTGTTTGCTTACGTGTCTTTCTAAACCAGAAACACTGGTGCCACAGTAACGTTCGTGATACACATGTCTCGTTGAGACTTGGAAAATTTCCGCAGGTCAATTGAATAACCTCGTGAAAGCACAGAAATTTTTCGTTAGAAATGGAGTACCTTGTGAATATAGAAAAGTTCTGGGTTTCAAATGGATCGTTTCATCGAGGCAAAAAAAAATGTCAGATGGAGTACCTCGTGAAGATATAGAAAAAAAATATGATACAAATGGAACATTTTTGATGCTCATGATAGGGTCCTGTGACATTGTTGGTATATATTATTATAAATATCATTGATGTTTGTAGTTTTGTTGTTACTGGGTTGTTGCAATGTTGCTAATGATGAAATTTTATATGATAGAAATGTTAATTTTGCATCTAAAATTATTAGAATGGTTGGATGTGAGTGGGACTTGCAAACAAGTTAACAGGGTTATTAAGGCTTATTCCTTGTGTAGCACTTAAATGGGTCGGGCAAATATTTTTGTTAGTGGGTTTGAGTTTGAGAAAGACTTGCCTGGTATGGGCCAGTAGACCTGCTGCAATGTTTTTCCATTCTTATGTTCTTATAAGAACATAAGAATGGAGGAACACTGCAGAAGGCCTACTGGCCCACACAAGGCAAGTCATTATCAAAACCACCCCTACCCAAAGCTACCCAAGAATTTACTCCCGTACCCACGACACCAATCAAACCCAGCCCCTCCCATCAAACCCACACGTTATGTATATAACGTTAATAGCATTTTGAAAACGTATTTAGGAGGATGAATTGAATGCAGTTTATAAGGAATGTAATTCAGGTTAAGCTTTAGATGCAGAAACGAGAGGAAATTTATTTATGGCAGAATATTTGAAATAAATTAATAAAAAGGAATTTGTAATGGGGACTTATGACAGTATTTTGAGAGAAAGACGCAAATCTATTTTAGATACAGGAAGGAATAATGTAATACATACCTCTTGTAATATGTGAGGGCGGTGTGGGTGGAATAGGAGGGCGGGGGGGGGGGAAATAAATGAGTGGGGAGGTTAAAAGAGAAGAATGTCAAGATTAAACCCGATTAAGAGATGTTAAAGAGGGTAATTTACATGATTATTCTGAAATATGGGTTTTTAACTAATTTTGTTATTTTACAAGTATACGATTAATGAATGCAAGATTAAGAATACAACAGAATAATGGTTTTTATTCTCTCCCACATCCGTAAAAAAAACATCAGTCATAATACATTATACAACCTCTACATAGGTTTAATTTTAAAGTATTTGCTGTGGCTTCCTCCTCCTCTTTGCAGCATTGCAAGCTCCTGATGTGTTGATTGCACCACGAAAGGCCTAGGGCTATCATTCAATTTAACCCCCTCCCCCGTCTTCGTAGTTGTTATGCAGTAAAATTTATGTTAAATTATCAAGTTTACATTTTAACGTCATCGGAGCTTTGCATCGCCGCCAAAGCTAAATATTGACTGATATAAGTGTTTTTTCTATCATGTTAAGCGGGTTGTCTCCTCTTATGCAGGTTCTCTTCTAGTATGTGGGTTCTCTTCAGACTCTCTCCTACTATGTGGGCTCTCTCCTATTATTCAGGTTCTCTCTGAATTTAGACAAGCCGAGCACATCAACAAGGTTTGTAAATCAAAATTATCCTTCCAGTCCAGTGACAGCTTTGATCCCTCGCTGGATTTGTATTATAACCGAGTTTTTGTCGTGTTTCACTGAAAGGAGAGTACACAGAGGCGGGAGGGAGAGTACACAGAGGCGGGAGGGAGAGTATACAAAGGCGGGAGGGAGCATACACAGAGGCGGGAGGGAGAGTTTTACAGAGGCGGGAGGGAGAGTAAACAGGGGCAGGGAGAGCATTCCAGGGCAGGTGGGAGGGGAGCGGGAGATAATTCTTTCCAGCGCTATCTTCCAACCTTCTACCTTATCCATTCCTTTCTCTCTCCACCTTTTCATCTCGTCATCCTTTCATACCTCTACCCACTCCTTCCTCCAAATATTTATTTATTTCCTTCCTCCCTCCCTCCCTCTCTCTCTTTCTTCCATACCTAAAAATATTCGTCTCTCCACCCGTCCATTCATCTCTTATGCACCTCTCCACCCCTTCACTGCCCAAGAGGTCAGGGATCATGAAACAGGACCAGATGCTCAAACTCAACCACCACCACATAAATACCGACGTCTTCAATGCCCACGTAGCCACGTATACAGCAGAAATGCGTAGCTTTATGCCTTTAAAACCTACATGGACGCACATACATCTTCAAAACCGCATGCATATGCAGCAAGGACCAAGAGCTGAAGCTTAACATTAGAAAGCACAAGAATAAACGCGGTAACTGTATCCCTAGCAAGGGACTGGAAGGGAGCGTTGAAACAGGAGTCATGTATGGTATGTGGGATAATGGAGAAGATAATCCCTTCAAAGGGGTACATCGTGAGGTGAGGTGCTCTTGATCCAAGGATTGTCCCTCCTCTTCCTCGGATCAAGCGTAATTACCTCCCATGCTCCAGGTGCTTTCCTGTAATAATAATAATAATGACAATGTATTCCAAAGGCTGTAAGATCAGAGAAAGGTATCCCCATATTGCAGTAACCCAGCCCCCTCTACCGCAGTGCACGCCAGCAGGGTGCAGCAGAATTTTCTAATGCAGTTAAATATTAGTACTGAAGATATGAAGCAAATCAGATGAGACATTCGCAAGACATCACATGGAAACTAATACTAAACTGAAGAGGCATTCTCTTGTTATCTCAAACCAATTTACTAAAATACACAGACCCATTAAGTTTAAAGCTGCTCGGAAGTTTAAGTAAACTTGGCAACAGCAATAAGTGATGATCGAGAAATCCGTTGTCTCAAAGAGGCAGAAGGTTTTCCTATGCTATGGCAGTCTCTCATCTACGCCTTCAGGGAAGACCTCCCAGTATTTCTTATTCTCGAGTTGCTAAACGACCCCCCACCTCTGGGGTCCCAACTTCTGCAGCCTCCTCTGTGATCACCCCTTCCACAGTCACCCCTGTCTCTAATTCTTTTGCTGTCCTGGACTCAGAGGACCCTACCTCGACACCTCATTCTGTTCTCACCTCTTTCTCTTCTCACTCAAGTTTCTGTGCCTACAGGACCTCGTACACCAACACCTCCCCATCGCCCCTCTACTTCTCCGAAGTCCAAAAAAAAAACCATTGTTAAAATCTCCTTTAACCCCTCCGATTCTTCCACCTGCACATTTTTCCTTTCCAGTCTCTGTACCTGGTTCTTCACCTCTTACTGGCTCTGTTACGAGTGTGGAGGTTCATTCTCCTCGTACAGTATCTTCCTCCCCTGTCTCCTCCCAAGTTTCTTCCTCTTCTGTCCCCTCCCAGGTCGCTTCCTCTTCTGTCCCCTTCCAAGCTGCATCTCCAGTTCCCTCTACCTTTTCGTCCCCCCCTACTTTGGTACAGTCCATCGTCGCCCCGATCTTTACTCACCCTCCTTCTTCCATCTCCAATATCGTCCCACCTACAACGTCTTTGTCCTCTGAAACACTTGAAGCTGTCTCCAAATATATTGAGGAGACTAGACGATTGATGGACACCAATCCACCTCCAGTTCCTCCTCTTCACTATCCTCCGTGTGCACAGCTCCTTTCTTCTCAGCATCCCAATCCTTCCCTGCTTGAACGTTTTCTGCCTCCACTTGTGGATTTTTCTAACCCTTCTAGTCCATAGATACCTCTTCCTTCAGATTTCTGGTATCTTTTTTTTAGCAAATCATAGCTTATTTACAGTGAAATATCTACGACCTCAGAGGTAACTGGGGCGAGCTTCAGGTGTTGCTCTCTCAGTTTTCCCGTTTGCGTTTATTTACAAGAACCCAAATTATGCTCCGCTATAATCCATCCCATCTTGGGCTATGATTTATTATATTCATCAGATCCTTTTCCCAATGGAACCTTTAAAGTGCACTTCTCATACGCACTGGTATTCCATACCATCATCTCTTTGTCTGTCGCCCCTGTTCACTCCATCCCTTTTCTCTTCACGTACATTCGTTCATGTCTTCTCTTCAGTTACCACCTTTCTATGTTCATGTAGCACTTCACTTTTCCCTACCTCCTTGGGAAGTTCCGACAGTTCATGTCTGTTTTACCCCATTGCCATGTGCGAAAGCCTAACTGCCGGTGGCTTCTCACTCTCATTTTCTTAACCATTTCCGATCTCATTCTCATTCCATCGCAGTTTACATCGATGGTTCCAAGTCTCGTGACGGTGTCAGATTTGAAGCAGTGTTTCCAGACAGCATCATGCGAGGGCGTTTATCACCATCGGCTAGGATTTTTGAGACTGAATTATATGCTATTCTCGTAGCACTTATCCGTATTGCATCTATGCCTGTGTCATCATTTGTGATAGCTTCAGACTCCCTTAGTGCTTTACAGGCTATATGAAAACTCGATACACCTCATCCCCTGGGTCTTCGTATCCAACTTTGGTTATGTCATATCTATAGCAACCACAAAGATATTGTTTTTTGTTAGGTCCCTGGTCATGTTGACGTACAGGGCAATGAACAGGCAAACTCTGCTGCGCGGTCAGCAGAGTTGAGAAATGGCATTACCAGTTAAGCTTAATTTTAAATTTAAATATAGGGAACACTTAGCTGATAAAAGACAGCAAATCGTCTACACAGCCGCCCCTGCAGACGAGGTCTTGAATTGTTGTCATGATCATCTCTCAACGGGCTGGAATAGATCATATTATGTAAACAATAATTTACCCCTAGGGGGTGTTATGTCAGCATATTTCATTCACTGATGGTTGACAAACTTACTTGTGTGGACTCAAAAGTCCGCACCTTACTGCCGACTATAGGTTGATTACAAACTCCTTGTGACTCAAGAACTGCGCAGTCCCCCGTACTACAAGAAATTCGTAACCTACCTTGCTCTTGTAGCGTGAGCTATGGTGTTCTTCACACCTTCGACAGGTATCGGTGACGATAGAAGCTGAAATCTCCTTGGATGTCCACGTCTTCCATAGTCTAGGGATACGCACACTGGTACACTATGTTCCACAAGATTTGTCTTTATTTTTCACAATCTTATCACTAAAGAAGCTGATCACACTTCTCTGTAAGTGTTTATTGTGTTTTGTGAGACACTTTGTTCACACTAACGCACAGATCGTTCTTTGTTGGTTATCCTGGCGTCAGTGTCACTCTCAGTAGAGTCAAAAGTAATCTGAAGACGCCACAGCGCCCCACGCCGTTACTGCCCCCAGTACAAAGGAAAAGCTGACATAGTACCTTTGCTTCCTTGCCGCTTCCTCCATGAGGCAAAGCAGAATGTTTAAATCTTGCTGTCTTAAGCATAGACAACAATGTCCACTATCTTTACTATGGTAATAAAGTTGGAGCAGGATTTTCCTTAATTGTCCTGCTAAGGTAAGAGATGTACTGTCTCTTATTAAAATACACTCTGCAACACTGGACTGCAAGGAGCGGCGGTCGCTTGACCACAGGTTGTATGCTGGTACTGCATCTGGGATCAATTACTCACTGTAGCAGAAAACAAGATATTTGCCCCTTCTGAGAGGGCTGGGCCCCTCAGGGCTGAGAGGGCTGGGCCCCTCAGGGCTGAAGGGGCTGAAGGGGGCTGATACCCCTCTCCTGGAGAAAATTTCTCCACAACCTCCCAGTTTCATATAGAGGTGTTCCATTCACAGACTATTTTGTTGTAATTGCTACCCACCTTCGCACCCACTGGCAACAACGTTAGCCTGATCTGCTACATAAATTACATTCTATTAAACCAAGTATAGGTTTTTGGCCGTCTTCATGTCATCAGTGTCGAGGTTGGGAGACTACGCTTTCCTGTCTTTGCATCGACCACATTCTTCTTAGTCATGAGTATCTCATGGAGAGGTGCTCTGTCCCACTCCCTGATAATTGTCAGGTTCCTGGTAATGTTAACCATATTCCGTTGGACTATCCATTCTGTCAACGAGCACGCAGAATTTACCTCCAACGTTGTCACCGCTCTACTGCCCTTACTTTACCTTCCCTTCTTGCTGATAGACCCTCCTTTAACCCAGACTCTCTCACTGGCTTTGACAGCAACTATTTACTGCACAAACTCTGTTGATGATGCCTCTAGCACTCCTCACAGCCCTTGCTACCTAGATACCCTCTACCCCTGCACTATCCACTGCCCCATTGCACTCCATGACCTAATAATCATCCCTCCCTCTTGTTACCCAATACCAGTGCACTCTTCCCTGCCCTGCTGTATGACTCACTGTAGGTTTAGCGCTTCTTTATTATCATAACATCTTTTCCACATTTTTTCCCATTTTTCACGTTATCCTTCTCGATATTTAAAATTCTTGTTTAAATCTGCTTTCCAATTCACAAAAAAAAAACACGAATGCAGTATAATGCGATCCTTTAATAATGTTTCGCTTACACAATGGCCTTTATAAAGTCAAATAGGCTTGCAGCCTAATAAAACCGACTACCGTTTACCTCCATCCAGATTTCCTGTACATAATCTGTATTTAAAATTCGATACAGTTTGTTACTATCTCGTCGCTATCCCACATAAGAACACTGTAGGTCTGCTCACAAACTTGTCCAATCTCCTTTCCAAGCTACCCAAGTTTTTAGACCCCACTCGGTACATCATCAGATGCAACATTCTTCACCTGACCTCAGCATTCTGAACCGGACTATAAATACTCGCGTTCCTTCCACCCCAGGTAGTTCTGTTTGTGACTTGAAAAAGCCCACTGTGTGGGCGAAACGTAGTCAATAAAGGATCACATTATACTGCATTTGTGTTTATATTTCCATTGTGTCGGTATTTTATACCATTTATTTCCATTGTTACTGACATCTCGGTGGGTCTTTATTTTATGTGATGGGCGTCAACTGCTCTGTAACTGTTCATTTGTGCAACAAATTATGTTACGTTGAGGGAAAGTGATGCACAATATCACTTTCTTCCTGTTATATATATTTCACTTTTCTTTTCCGTATATAACTTTCCTCCTCCTGGGTGTCACTCTCCTGGGTGTCACTCTCCTGGGTGTCACTCTCCTGGGTGTCACTCTCCTGGGTGTCACTCCCCTGGGTGTCACTCTCCTGGGTGTCACTCTCCTGGGTGTCACTCTCCTGGGTGTCACTCTCCTGGGTGTCACTCTCCTGGGTGTCACTCTCCTGGGTGTCACTCCCCTGGGTGTCACTCTCCTGGGTGTCACTCTCCTGGGTGTCACTCTCCTGGGTGTCACTCTCCTGGGTGTCACTCTCCTGGGTGTCACTCTCCTGGGTGTCACTCTCCTGGGTGTCACTCCCCCGGGTGTCACTCCCCCGGGTGTCACTCCCCCGGGTGTCACTCCCCCGGGTGTCACTCCCCCGGGTGCCACTCCCCCGGGTGTCACTCTCCTTGGTGTCACCTCACTGGGTGTCACCTCACTGGGTGTCACCTCACTGGGTGTCACCTCACTGGGTGTCACCTCACTGGGTGTCACCTCACTGGGTGT